TTGCTGCTGCTGCTGTTCTGTAACCTAAGTGGAAGAACAACTATGATTTGTCTTAGTTTTTAAAAAGGGCAGAATAAGTATTACAAAAACAATTGATTTTTTTCAGCAATGGAAACAGCACTTGACTCATACCTAAGTAGTGCATCTCTCAATAATGCATCTTATGCTCTATAATTAATATTTAAAACTCACCTATAGAAAAAGCTATACTTTCTTGAAAATTTTAAGTGAAAGCATATGGGCAGAAATTCTGATTTCTCTCTGTTGTCGCTTCCTGGGAAGAAGCTAGCTGTGACCCAGGCATCTCATTCAACACTCACTGAGTGCCTATCATGTGCCAAGCCCTGAGCCTGCCACAGACACCTGAAAGGGGGGCCAGTGCCCACGAGGGAAAACACAGCCTCTCTGAAGTTAGCCAAACAGACAAGACAGCAGTGACTGGATTCTTAAGACACTGTCATTATTCCCCCTTAGCTCCTCTACTGACACTGAAATCTCTACTCAGTTAGCCCACTGATAGGACACTGCTCATTGCACGCTGTTCCCTCTTTTCTCCAAGACTTCAGATCTTGTGGAGGTGCCTGAAGAAGCTGACGGGCCAGGAGGAGGGTATGACCTACGGAAACGCAGCAACAGTGGTGAGTGAGGGAATGGGACCCCAGGCACTGCCCAGCACAAATGCCAATCACGTTAGTCGTGCAAGTCAGTGGGCGGGGAAAGTAGACTTCCGGTCCCCTCGCTTCCTCTGCTGGCTATGGAATTCAGTCTGGGCAAGTGCTCAACATTCTGGAGAGAAACTGGGCATAATCACTCATTGGGTTTCAGTGATCTGACGATAACGGTCCCTGAGTTCTGTGTCCTGAGTTCTCAGGTATTATGGACTTAGCTATACTGGGGTTAAAGAGTCACTTTCAGACCTCCTTGTTAATGTGCATTTCCCCCACTGACTTACGTAAGGTTAGCCAACTATGCCACAGAGAAGCTGCTCCATGCTACACCAGAAGTACCTCAAACCAGGTGGGTGGTGGTGCCAGGGAGGCAGGTAGGGGCCGCACACTCGACTCCTTCCCTGCAGAGATAACTGAAACTCTGATAGGTATAGCCAAACATTCATTATTATTATGTAATTTCCTAATAGCTTAAGCCCTTGTTACAGTAATTTCTAAAATATTTATTAAATGCTAACTGAATCCCGTTGCTTGCTAACATTAACAAAGAACGGCCCCTGAAACCGGAGCCTAATGTGGACCAGTGACGCAGATTTGTGTCGATATATTTAAATGTCCCATCCTCAATGTGTTAAGGAAACATAACTAACGCCTTATGAATGCGTCTTGCCCAGCCTCTCTCATGGGAACAACTGCTTCATCTCCACTCGTTTATCCAAAACACATTTACAAAACATTTACTATCACCAGCAAAGGTACACAGGTCACAAATGCTGTCCTCAGGTTACGCCTAATCCAGCAAGCTTGCACATCCTGACACATGTCATTTACTCAGGCTGAGTGCATCCCGGAGGCGGAAGCCATCCCTCCCGACTCTCATCCCGGGTGTGAAATGTGGGAATGTGCCACCTTGGGGAGGTTTCCCACTTGCCTAGTTGCCCAGCCTTTTCCAGACTGGAAGCAGAAACTCTGCATTCAATATCCCCTCGCTGCTTTGTCAGCAGCGATCTTACGAGGTATCATCCCCACTTCCTGAGTTCTAGGAATCCATGTATATCCCTTCTCTAGTTAGGACTGTGCCTCTGGGTCCCACAAGGCAGCACATGCCTGGCTTCCCCACAACTCTCCTTGCTAAATAAGCATCAGAGCTCACCATGGCCCCCCTGCCACGCCCACAACATCTGCTAAAGCACTCTGTGAGGGTAAGGATTCTTTAGCATCACATGGGGAAAACCATACTTTTAGATCGATGCAAACATTCACTGAGCACTTAGCAGTGCCATTAGAGAGACAAATCAAAGAGTGACGGCTGCCAGAGGACCCTCACAGGGAGCAGTCACACTGCAGGACCATCCCAGCCCACGTCTGTCCAGCATCACAGGTCCAACAACTGAATTTGGTCAGCAACCCTGGAGTTCTTGGGCATCTGAAGAACCAAATCACCAGAGACTGGTGTATAAACCAGACATGCCTGCATTTTAATGCTTCAGGTCTGGTCAGCTGCTCTGTCTCCTGAGTCTGACTTTACCTGCACCCTCACCTGACGCTTTTCTCCAATGTGATGGTCTCCTCATCTCTAACTGCACTGGGCATATTTGGTCCTTGGCCCCTGCTTGCTCTGCAGGCAGACTGCTGGACTTAACTTGGTGACTATGTGGCCATGAAGCAGTGACCTAGCTTTTCTCTGCTTTAATCACCTCATCTCTAAATAAGACCGACCCCATAGGGTGTTGTGATCTTTAAATGAGATAATGAATGTAACTACCATTCATACACTAATGACTTGGAAACTCCACTTGCAGCACTAGGCTTCTTTGCTGCCCCCAGACACCTGTAGCCTCCTGGATATGGGATCTGAATATGGAACAGGCATCTTCAAGTTAACACCGGACTCCAGATTCCTGTGCCCACCCACCCAAACCAGCTCTTCCCCAGCTACCCCTGCTCAGTACATAGGAATTCCATTCTACTAGTTGATCAGGCCAAGCTTCTGACATCAGCCCTTCTCACACCTCATATCTAATCTGTCAGTGGATCTTAGCTGCTGCTCTTCAAAGTCATGCCCAGTATGCGTCCTCCCTTACCTCACTGCCTCAGCCATCCTGGTCCAGTTTTATTGATGCTATTGCTCACCCATTCCTTTAGTGGTAAGGTCTCTATTTGCCCTGGGGGGTTCTTGACTCAAAAAGTGGTCTTCATATAATTGTATAATGCAAAGAGCTATATTTAGGAATCATCAATATGAAGTACAGTTACTGTTAATAAAGTCATCATAAGGTCATCAAGTGTCAGAGACGCAGCTTAGAGACTCACTACCCCAAGTGTGGCCCATTGACCAGCAGTCCGGGCACCACTAAAAGATCCTGTTAGAAGTTCAGACTCTGCTTATGAATCTATGATATGAATCTGTGATATGAATCTTACTAAGTTTGAGAAGCAGGTTTTAAGTCATAGAGTTCAATACACACACACACACACACACACACACATACTATATAGATAATGAAACTGAGGCATGGAGTAATACACTCAGCCACAAAGCTGATTATTTGCCATGCCATCTCTTTTATGTTAAGGGGTTTTTTTCACAGCCTTATTCAAAGAAATCTGTTAAAAGAACTTAGCAAGCAATCAAGCTCTAAAAATCTTTGGAGATCTATTAGCTATTCTTTTGATCAGGAGTAGCTTCCTTTATAACATGACCTTGGAAGCTAGAGGGATTAATTATGCAGCAGTTTGCTTCAAAACATTTTCCTTTGATTGGATTTCATCCCTTGTCCATGCAGTTTGAGAAACAACCTAGAGAAAACACCCTGCGTATGGGGTCCGAGTTCCCACCAGTCTTCTCACTGCCATGGCAAGGAGGATGCTGGCTTTTCAGGAGCAGCGCTTGGGCTTCCGGTCACAAGCAGTTCTGCATTACATGTTTCATTTATGTTCTAACAAATACACAGTGCACACAGGTCTTATTTCTGCCAGCCAGGGGTCACGACAAATCCTTGAGGAACATTTCCAAAGCCACCTTAGAAGAAGGTACAATTCGTGCTCATTTCTTTACTGCTAAGAGCACCATCTCTTCTATCTCTTTTATAAAAGACTTTGGGCAGCTCTGAGTGTTTCTGGTTGTTGTCAGCACTGTTCCAGGAAGCATCAGAAATATGGATGGGAAGAGTTATTGGTCCTCACTTTTGGTTTAAATGCCGGAGACTCCCCTAGAAGCAAGATCACGAGCAAAGGGAGCAGTCAAATCTAGGCTGCCTATTTCAGCTCAAAATGCCAGATAATCATGTTACTGGCTAACATCAATAATTGCATTTCAGTCTGACTGTATATGATCATAACTTTCCTGGAAGGGAGGCAGAGGGAATGAAACGTAAGCAAGACAGATTCCTAGAAGTATTCTTCAAAAACGGACAGGGTTACTCACATCCATGTGAGGATATTACAGAGCCCAATAGCACCTTACGTTGCACTGAAGCAAAGAAATTGTGCCCAGAAGGGAAAATGACAAGCTCAGGTTTGGAAAATTTATCATTGCCTTTAGCATGCACTGCTTCTAAATCGCACATTTTGAGTTGTCCCCCAAAAAAGGAAGCAAATGTGTTAATGGCTCTTTTGGCAGATGCCCCTGGTTCTGGTCCCCCTCCAGTGGACAATTCCCAAATTACAGTTGCAAACATTTATGGTGTGTTTCTGCAACACACACTTAGTATCTTTAGTACCAAGAAAAAATATCAATGACCCAAGTCTAACTCAAGAAGTAACAGAGAACTTGAATTTGCTTCTAATCGTGACAGAAACTGAATCAATATTTTAAATTTTTGCACCATGAAAATACCAGGCCCAGACAACTTTATAAGTAAATTCTACCAAACACTTCAGGAATAAAATATTTACACACTATATAAGCTTTTTCAGGACAACAAAACATGGCAAGGAGGAAGGGCAGTAGCATTCTCTTAGTTTCTGAAACCAGTTTGACCTCAAAGCCAAACAAAGATGGCATGAGAAAGGCAAATCACTGGCTACTCCCCTCTGGAAAACAGACGCAGAAATCTCAAACAAAACCTTAGTAAACTGAATCCAATAATGTATTTTTAAAGGATAATACATAATTACCAAGATGGACTTATTCCTGGAATGCAAATTGGCATCAGTGTCAGATAAATCGGTAATGTAACTGGTTAAGAAGAAAAACCAAATAATCATCTCATTAGAAAACACAGTGGTGGACATGGGCCTGGCAGGACCGCAGAGCAAAAAAGACAGACAGAATAGGAAGAAGGCACAAAAGAAAGTCCTTTGGGGTTGTGGCCAAAACTAAAGCTTCTTTTTGCATCTGTAACATTAGAAAGTATGTCTACATAAAGGACATATTCTTTGACTACTTGTCATGGATGAAATCAACAACCAAATTTTTTAAATAAAATGCATTTCAAGCACCAAACATGAAAGGTGTGCATGATGTAATTTTGGTAAAATAGTTACCTTTCTTTATTCCTTTTCCCTCACATCAAAATCTTAGACTTGATTCTGGAAGGAATGGATTTTAAAAATCATTTTTGCACTATTCCATTTCTGCTTGCAATCATATAGCTGAAAACACATTTGGGGGTCACTTTAAATAATTTTTAACGGAGTTCACAAAAGTGATACACAGTTCAAACCAGATGCCTAATGGATATTCAACCAAAAGCTAAAATAATGTGAAATTAAAAAATGGTAAAACCAATCCAAACTGATCATTGCATATGCACCTATGGAGTCCCCCTTTTTAGCTCCAATCAAGAATTTTCTAGGAAGATTCTCTTTGCATGTTTTCATTGAAATATTCAATGTTTTTTTAGAAGTATAGGGTTTTATCATTAAGGAATCAAGTATTTACACCAGGACTTCAGGTCATCACATAATGCCAGAGAAAATTTTTGCTGGCCTCATTCATTTTAAACTATTAAGTTGAGTGGCCAAATATTGAGGCAGATGAGCCCCATAGGATCAGGTCTTCATTTTCCACCTACTTGCAAACCAGAGCTCCCCCAATGACTGCTTACTGACCTGCTAGGGATAATGGAATTGCGTCCACACGCTCTGGACCTATTAACTGTGGAGAATAGGTGTTTACTAAGCATTGGTCCATTTATAGGGGCTCTTGTTCTGAAGTGTGTTTTCTACATCAGCTATTGAATCCATTTTAAGGACAAAGGAAGATTGTCAGTGCACTAACTGAAATAGCTTACAGAGCTTTCTGTGGTGTGTTTCTCTTCCTCCACTGATATTTCCATGATAATCTGAAGGGAGACCAAAGGGAAGAATAAAACTGCAATGTTTCATTTTTAAATGTCAAGTCATCTAAATGGTAGGTTAGTTTAGAAAGTGTAACTGTAATGTATAAACTTGGATGCATTTGCCACATTTGTGTTTAAGGAAGACACAGGCAGTGAGAATAAGGCCATGACATTGATCACTGGTGTAGACTTGGTGGCTAGAAGAAGCTAAGGCAGGGCCCTCATACCCACAGCTGTCTATGTTGGCAGTGAAAACCTCCTGCCCATTTTGAGAAGCCTTGTTCTTTCTCAAAAGCTACAGAGTGGCTGCTTAAATGCAAAAGGACAAGAATTATACATCCCAAGAACAAAATAAGGAGAAACCACGATTTTATTTTTTATTCCAAATAACAGCCTCAATGCACTGACAATACGAGATCAAGGAAATATTTTGAAGTTTAAAACTAAAGCTTTAATCTGCAAAATAGAATATAGATACCATTAAGAAACTAGAATCAAGATATTGAAAATAGATAAAAGAATCTGGTCTTTAGAAAAGGTAACTCAAATACAATTCAATTGGGCCATACCTCACCCTCTATCCCATTAACAAATCATTTGATACATTTAACAAAGATGAATGGCATGGTTTCCGCTCATGAGACGAGCACTGCCAAAGGAGACCAGGTTGTGAACGCACAATTGCCAAGCAGTCAAGAGGATGTGTGCCAGATGGAGGCGTGTACAGGGTGTGCGCATGCAAAGACGGTGGTGCAGAATGCTGCACAGGGAGGCAGGGATGACGTGGAAAGCAACGTGACAACGTGACAGCTGGGTCACTGAGGACAAGGAAAAGGTAGTGCGACGGGAAGGAGAAGCTACGGTACAGGGAATAAATAAAGGCACGTTTTTCAGGCATGTTTACAAAATATGGTGATGGGATTCATAAAGCTCCCACTTTCTCTTGTCTCCTTCAGTGTTTACGTATCCAGAAAATGGCACTGACGATTTCAGAGACCAAGCAAAGAACATGAATGACCAGGTATTTATGGATGTCCCAGAAGGCAAACCAGACAGGATCCTTAGATCATACTGCCTGCCGGTCACCACCCACATGGGTCATGGTATCAATTTAGTGGGTCCCAGACCAGCACTTTTAGAGAATACAAGACAGCAATGTAGCATAATTTGCCATAGAATAGATAGCATGGAGTAAAACAGGAATATCAAAGGTAAAAGGCACATCAAAGGTAAAAAGGATAAGTGTTGTGTTGTACACTTTTGTTTTCATTATATTAGTTACATAGAAGTTGGTATATACTCTATAGAATGTATATTAGATAGTTACATAATATGTTACAATTGTTTTATAGTATATAAGTATATAGTTATATATTTTTATGTTCATTGATGTATAAGAATAGAACAGAATAGAGTAGAATAGAAATATATAGCATAAGGCACTTGGGCTTTGGATAGCAGAGTGAATCATAAAAAAATACAGTACTGTGCAACTTTTGTGTATGTTTTATATATACAATAGATTTATTATTATTATGCATTAAATATATTATATAATTATATAATATATATGCATAGAATTGTATATTATGTATATATACATGTTACATATTATGCAAATATATGTAATATATAATATCGAATTTATGATATGTAATATTACATAATTTTATGCTATGTATTATATAACTTTTCATTTATTGCATTCATTATAAAGTGTAGACATTTATCTATTAACATTTATTTGGTTCACAATAATAGCTAATATTTATATAACACTTGTAAGAATTTCGTACAGTCTACAAATTGGGGACAATAGAATCTACCTCATGGGGCAATTGTGAGGTTTGAGTATGCTAATGCATGTAACCAACTGCTATCAAAAATGGTAACTTTTATTATAATTATTGCAGGGTTTCATAGTTAGGAGATGGTGATTCCATGATATATCAGCCTGATGCCAAAGTCTACATTTTTTTCCACAACGTGAATGAACGAATTTCCAGATGAATATACCTGGTTCCCTGTGCTATGCTAGATACCAAATTTTAGGCTAACTAATGAAAAGTCCGTTGTAGGAAGCTGTTTCTTCTATTCACATGCCACTCTTTCTATAAAGAGAATATTCTCATTCCTGGGCCAACCCCATGAACAACTATATCCTAAAAAAGTTACTTTAAGAAAACTGTAGTATTTCTGACAAAGACTTCCACATGATTGTTTTCAAATGGTTTGCAATGAAATCAAACTCAGCTAAGAAATTAAAAATAAACCGATGGTTGAAACACAGCTTTTAATAATGATTAGATATTTTAACACTTAAGAGCCACACACTGAATTACATTGCATTAATTTCTCCATTTCCTTGTGTGTTTTTTTTTTCTTGCCTCTCTCCATTTCTTCTTCCTTCCTTCCCTCATTTTTCTTTTATTTTCTCTTTCAGGGACTTCTTTCCAAAGATCCATTACAGATGAACACCTATGTTGCCTTGTACAAATTTGTACCACAGGAGAATGAAGATTTGGAAATGAGGTAAAAACATGTTTTAAAGAAAAAGAAAAGAATGAATGAGAGAAAGAAAAAAAATATTTTAAGTCAATGTCTTTCCATGTGAAACAAATAATTCAATTTGTGCTGCCTCCTCATGCTTTCGAGCAGTGATTCTCAGGCTTTAGTGAGCATCCAATCGCCTGCAGGGCTGGTGAACACATACATTGCTGGAACCAATCCCTGGAGTTCCTGATTCAGCAGATCTGGGGTGGGGCTTGAGAATTTGCATTTCTAACTGGTCTGCTGGTGGTTCTGATGCTGCTGATCTGGGACCACACTTTAAGAAGCACTGTTTTAGCACATTGTCAACAGGACTGCTAATGGAAGCTTTCATAAAAGTTGAGCATCAAATGTACTTGGCATCCTGGGGGGTCTAATAGAAAATAAAAAATTTATTTAATGCCCAAATTAACGTTGATTGAAGAAGCAAACTAAAACTATTTGTTTCTCCTGCTAGAGACTGATATCTCCCCCAGGCTCACACCCTGAGGTATGGCCCATCCCACTCATGGTAACTGACATGGTGGGGAGGTTTAGGTGAGCTTTGTGATCCTTATGAAATCTGAAACTTTCTTGACCACAGTTTAGGTTCCTCATGTTTCAAGGGTAGTTAAGCTGGAGTCAATCCTGCATTCACCCCTGTGTGACCTTAAGCAATTTAGAAACATTTCAATACTCTGATTTTCTTATGTATAAAAGAATAATAATGACCTCTCTCCTGTTGGGTATTTGTGAGGATGAAATGAATAATGTTCATAAAGCCTATAGCATAGCACCGTACCTAGTCATCATAAACAGTCAGTAACTGGTAATTGTTACAATTTTTATAATGTGGTGTTCATCAGCCTATCTCGAAGAAAAGGCTTTACTCTTTCCTTTGATTCATCACCCCAAAACATAAGTAATCTAGGGAGAAGGCCTTGGTGTCTTCCAGTCCTAGAGCAGGATAGAAGAGGCTGCTTTTCCAGTCAAATGGGCCTTTGGAGATTGGTTCTTTCCAATTATGAAGAGAATGAAAAGATAAATTAGCACTGAAAACTACTGAAATGTGAGAGCGTTAGTGAAATAGCCTCCATCTGGGGGTGGACTTCACTTGTCTGAATGCCATGCAGGCCAAGTTACCTGTCACCAGTCACTCCCTTCAGATGGTTTCCAGAAGGACTTATCTCTCCACCTTAGGGCTATCTGGGCTTCTCCACGCCCTTGGGCTTATGATATTTCCCAGCCATGGTCCTTCTCGCACTTGCTAGAATATGGTTGCCCACCTCAATGAAATCTGCCTTTCCTCTTCCACTTGCCCCAAAACCCCTTAAAAAGAGAGAGCTACTAAAAAAGCTCCAGTTAGACCCTGTTTTCCTGATTCCATAGCCATTGGGTCAGCTTCAGCAGCTCACTGCCCTTCATGCTGCAACCTCCAGAGATACTCTACAGCAGATGTGTGCATCCTGCCAGAGGCTGGTATCTCCTCCTGGCTCACACCCAAGGTCGGCTTTGTTGCAGTGTTCCTCTAGGGTCTGCTTCCAAGTGATTCTTGGGCCTTTCCAGAGCAGAGTCCAGGGCCTAGACCCCAGCTTCTTAGATTTGTGCTTTTGTGCATCCGAGTTTTCTCCATCATTGAGTAAGAATTGTCACGCTGAAGTCCCTGGCTGGAGTTGTAAATGCTACCTGAACAGTCTGGCATCAGCATAGGAGGAGAAGGCGTTTACCAAGTGAAGCCCTTATCTATCAGAGATGTAACAAGCCCTGAAGGTTAGCGCCCGCCTAGAATTCATCACTGGGGTGCTGCTTTGCCTTCAGCTGATGGTCCACAATTACCTATCTGCTGATGAAGACAAGGATGGCATAGACAGAGGGTACAAAAAATATATATACACATTTTAAGAAAGGAAAAAACTGTATTAAGTTTTGTAGTACTCAATATATACTGATAACAAAAGATGAATACAAGTCGTGTGTATACATTTTTTTGGCACCCCCAGTATTTACTTTGCAATAAATACATTATAGTTTGTCCTTGAAATTATCATTTGGGTATCTCAAATTTAAGTTTTAACAATTTCTCATTGTGTGTGTCCCACCATTTTATATGAGAATTTTATTCTGAAGTCATTAGATGAAAAAAAAAATCCTGCTAAATATAGAATGTTATTGGGGTACTGAGGAATGACGTCTAGCTGCCTGGTGGCGGTCGTAACTTTTTGTGCTTATTTTAGTCAGTTGCAGGCCATTAAAAGTCAAGTTGTCTGGTCACGAATCAAACGTTTACAGGCTTCTGCAAAGCACACAGGACTGTTCGTTCCCAGGAGTGAAATGTCTGCATTACATAGACTGCGAGATTGGAGTAATAAATCATACTTACATTTTTTTCTTTTGCCAAGAGAGTGTAGGTTCCCATTTTAAAAGCCAGGCACTTGATTTAGAATGTGTAAGGCCATGCTTTGGGGATCTGGTAAAATTCCTTGAATGAACTGGGACTTTGTGAATTATTGTTTTCTCCTTAAACCATAAAGTAGAAAAAAAGTTCCTTTTAACAAAATACCATTCCTATCCACCTGCATTCTGATCCAGGGGAGCCCCCTGGGCATTCTCTTCAGGAAAGAAAACAAAGGAAGTGAGAGTACAGGGAATGTTAGGAGTGTGAGCTTGAGGGCAAAGAAAGCCCAACCGGCAAAGCCAACCGTCCGAGATCAGAGCAGATGCATCATCGCTTCAGCAAGCATTTGTTACATATCTGCTTAATAATCAGGAAAGCTTTTCCTGCCAACAGCCAGCAGTCCAAATCGCTCTACCGACTTCCAGATACACATCCCTACCTGCCTACCCTACGAGTGGATGGCGCACAGCAGCTCCCCACTCCCTCCCACAAACCTGCTCCCTAGGGTCAATAATGTCACCATCTTCCCAGGCTTCAAGCCAGCCACCAGGCTTCCCTTTGCCTTGTGCTCAAAAGGCGTTTAATGTTCAAGTCCTGCTGGTTCTCTTTGCCTAAAATCTACTGTAGCCACCCGACCTTCATCTCTCTCCTGGATTGGGGTAGCAGGCCCTACCTGGTCTCTGTGTTTCTAGTCTTGCTTCCCACTCTTCCCTTCCCATCCATTTTGAGTTCGGAGGACTCTAAGGGGACAGTACAGTGTACGGGGGGTTGTTTAAACTTTGGAGTCAGATAAAATGGATTCAAATCCCAGCTAATCTACTTTCTAACAATAGAGCACATCACCTAACTTTCTGAACCTCTATTTTCTTATCTTGAAAATAGGGATATAAGGCCTGCCCTTATAGGATGGCCAGGATTAAATAATATAACAATATCGGGTACATAGTAGGAGCTTAATAATGTTAGTTCCAATCAGTTCTATTCATACTCCAGAAGTAGATGCTCCCTGTACAGACTTAAGAAATGAGAGAAAGGGAATGACCATATCAACATGGATTCACTGAATGTTTACGAATAAAAAGTGTGGGCATCACTTGACATGCATTTAAGTAGAAGTTAAGCCTCTCACCTGTATGACCCCTCCCCCATGAAGCTCATTCGAGCCTTTGCTTGTTCACTTATAAAAGAACATCATCATATGCCTGCATTAGGTTGGCTCATGACATATATATCTTTGCTTAAAACTATCCAGTGTCTTCCCATTTCCCATGTGTAAAGACCAGGATATTTACAGGGACCTCCAGGACCCATACGGTCTCATCCCTGGTGACATATCTACATTGTGTTCTCCACACCTCTCTGCTCCACCCACAATAACCTCTTTCCTTCCCCAGAAGGAACACACCACCACCTGCCAAGGGATTTTTCTTCCTCCCTTCTTTCACCCTCCTATCCACCTAACACCACTACCATCACAACACACACACACACTTTGTTCCAGTGACTGTCGTGTACCCACGAGATCTCAGCTCAGACTTTACTTTCTCAACGCAGCCTTTTCTGGTACCCACGATCTGAGTTTCCTCTGTTATATACTTTCATGACACCACATTCCTTTCTTTTAAAGCACTTTCTCAACTTGGATTAATATACTTCTGGAACTATTTGGTTAACCTCTGTACCACTTGTAAACTCCCTGAGAACAAATCCGTAATAGCTAACCTTTATATCCCTGTAGTACAGTTCTTGAAATATAGTAGATGCTTACTAGATAAGTGATGAATGAACGAATGAATATGGTGGAGATTAAGTGAACTAATGCTGTACCTGACATCTACAATTAGCGGGCACATCAAGTACATGATGGTATAATGGAAACTACAAAAGAGGAAGCAAACCAAGCTCAGAGGGGCTAGCCAGGAACTGTGTCCTAGAGGAATGGACCTTGACCCTGTGATGAATACTATTTGTCAAGCAGAAATTATAGAAAAGGAGACCAAAAGTAGCCCATGGTCATCATATTCACAAAGAACAAAGGGTTTAAGACAATTTGGAAGAATCCCTGCTACGCCTTTACTGAGCACTCACAGTTGAGGGTAGAGGAATGGGCCTCAGAGACGAGAAGCCAGGTGCTGCCCCCTTATTCTTAGGGCACTGAGTACTCCTCTTAGAAGTGCTGTGGTCGCATCATTAGTCTCCAAATGCTGTCTAATGACAGAGGCTCCACACAGTCTGTTTTGCTACAGTTTCAGTGCAAAATAAACTTCATCATAAATTCATCCACCATTACCTTTCCAAACTGCTGGAGCTCACATCCCATGATAATGCTCTATCTTTCCACCATCATGGGCAGAGATAGTAGAGAACAGGTAGCAGGACAGAAAAGAGCAATATCTGGGAGTCACATAGACCAGGCCTACCCTCCAGCTCTGATTATCACTAGCCGCACCAATTTGAGCATACTGTTTAATTTCTTGGAGCCTCAGTTTTCTCCTTCCTAGGGAGACTGGATATTTAATTTAACAAGATAATGTAAACGAAAGGTGGAATTTCATGTCCAGTACAAAGCGAGGTGCACAGTATACTTTTGATACTTTCTCTTCAGAAT